GAGGATCTTTGCTCCGTATTGTTAGGTGGAACTGCATGTTAATGATCGTGCCCCTGCTGTTGCCCGACGTGACGGGGCGACCTCCAGGCACAATGAAACGCTTGTGTGAAAGAGACTTTTAAAAGGAGAAATTGGGGCATAAAACGCTGAACTGGGAAAATTGAATAGGAGAGAACAGGATTTCGTTGAAAAGGAGATGAGAGATTCTGGAGGATTTTTAAACACATATATTTAGATTTTCAATTGGAGGTTAGAAAGACTACTCTGTGTGGGGTAAAAATGCCCAGAGATAGACGCTGTAGCAGAAAGTAAGTTTTTCCTTTAGGGCTATTTCTCTTATTTCTGTCTGGCAGATACAGCCCAATACTTGACATTTGGGGGGGGGGCGGGGCGGTGCAGCAGCGTGAATGAAAAAAAAAAAGAGGCTGACCAAAGTTTCACGCTCTGTTAACTGGGAAGAAAAAAAAAGCACCACCTTGTAATCACATTTGCAAGATTAATTGGTTAATAGACATTAAGATAAAAATGGACATTACTAATATCCGTAATGAACAGCTTCTCAGGAAAAGAATTACGTCTACACTTTCCCGCTACTTAAATTACACAAAACATACATCAATGACTGCCTATGTTGGCATTAGGAGGGAAAACCCAACGTGGGGGGAGGTCTTTGAATCAATCAGAAAGAGTGAACAAAGCAGTTAGTTCAAAGCTAGTTTAAATTTTAAATACCAGCTCTAGTTATGTTTTTTAAATGATAAACCTTGTAGGCAATGTCCAGTGGCAAAGGGAGAAAAATGACAGCTTAATAGAGAGCCCTCCATCCGGGCATTACTCTCTCAATTACTGCGGATGAAACAGCTGGAGAGTCCACCCACGGCTTCCCTCGCGGGGCTGCCCCCTCTCGCCCAGACAGGGTCGGATCTGGGGGAGCGAGAACTCACCAGTCATTACCTTCGCCCGTATCTCAAATGGGGGACACTTCTGGCCTGCCCTGTACCTCTCCCTTCATGAGGCACACGCGACTCAATCCACCCCCTGTAAGACAAGGTATCTGGGATTCACCCTCCTCCATAAATAAGCATGTCGAGAAGAAAATAATTACCTCTGCTTGCTGCTTTTGATTAAAGCCTCCGAGGGACAGTGTTGGATTATGGTAATGAGCCGACATACGTCCCCTCTCGCCCCTCTCGGAGGCTGCAGAGAAAGGTTAGCTGACACGGAATCAGTGGCCCTGACACTCTACTTGAAATCCATTCGCCATGCTCGGCTGTCTCCACCTGTTCGCTAATGCTGCTCCCCTCTTTGGAAGAAAATGAAATAAAATCAGCCCTGAGGAAGGGAGAGGAGCTTTCTTCTAAGCGTTAGAAGTTTCTTTCAGTCAAGAAAGTCTGTAAAAAATACGATTGTTCTCCCCCACCATCACCCTTCCCAAATCCTGCCCCATCCACCCACGAGTTACTGAAAAAAATCTCTCTCCTCTCTCTCTCTCTCTCTCTCTCTCTCTCTCTCTCTCTCTCTCTCTCCAATCTACCCTGAGTTCCCACTATTCCAGGATCTTCTTAAAAGGAAAGTATTCCTGAGTTGGCATCTTCACACTATGCAGGGTTTAATCTGCTATTGGCTTTATTTCTGAAATAAGAGCTAGACAAAATTCAAGAAAAATCTGTCGAGTAGTTAAAACGCTCTGTCTGGATTCATAAAGGCAAAAGGAGAAATGTAACTCCGTTTGGTGTCCTGTGTGTTTGTCTCCAGGGATGGAGGATTCAGGCATCCAGCGAGGCATCTGGGATGGAGATGCCAAGGCCGTCCAACAGTGTCTGACAGACATTTTCACCAGCGTGTACACCACCTGCGACATTCCTGAGAATGCTATATTCGGGCCCTGCGTCCTGAGCCATACCTCCCTGTACGACAGCATAGCTTTCATAGCTCTCAAGTCCACCGACAAAAGAACAGTTCCTTATATCTTCCGGGTAAGTCTTGGCCAATGCTCGCCAAAAATTGAAAAGGAAACTTAAACTCAAGTTATTGTCAACTGATTTTCTGGAACAAATGATAAAATTTGATTTGAAATACCAGGTATGTCTAAAGCAGTGCCTTAATTCTGGGCTTTCCTAGTGAATACCTTAACTCTGGGCGTTTTCAGAAGATTGAGGCTATTTGCATAATAAGTACTTTCTGTAAGTATTTTTATCCTAAGTATTAGGCGCAATTGCCTTCCAACATAGTAGGCCTTCTGTTCCCCTAAATAATATTACCCCTTCTGGAAAAGATATCTAGTGCCCGAAGTTTGTATTTACATAAAAATGTTAAAGAAGTATTTTTTTTAATCCTCACCCGAGGATATGTTTCCATTGATTTTAGAGAGAGTGGAAGAGAGAGGGAAAGACAGAGAGAAACATCGATGTGAGAGAAACACATTGATTGGTTGCCTCCTGCACATTTTGACAATAAAATTACATTTAATCCATATGTTTAAGTTTAGAGATAAAAGCCCTCTCACTTCCTATTCTTTCTCTACAAATAAAAGCTATTGTTTAAGTTAAAATTAGGAAGATGAGTGAAGCCACACAATAATATCTGAGATCTAACCTTTTTATTTCCAAAACGAACCAAATTCCCCCACATTTTTGTAATATGGGATAATTTAGAAGTAAATTCTCAAGAGGTTAACACTAATTTGAATTGGAAGAAAAATTCCTCATTTGATATTCAAGCAATATGTGAAAAAGACTACTGAAATAATCTGTGATCGATGCAGACTTTCAAAGGACGACTCTCTTGCCTGCTGGATACACGCACGAGGGTGGGTGCCAACTTGGGTCAAGTTTTTGGAATCCTGATCTCAGATAATTCTTTGGAAAAGAATGACATGCAGGAAATGGCCCTGGTTCCTCTGGCTTCACTCTCTCACAAGAGTCTCCCTCCCCCAAACCCCTTCCTTCTTGTATTCTTTCTTTTTTTCTCAACTGTAGGTGGACACCTCAGCGGCAAATGGTTCCTCGGAAGGTCTCATGTGGCTGCGTCTGGTGCAGTCCGCCAGAGAGAAGGAGGAGCAGAACCTGGAAGCCTATATAAAAAACGGACAGCTGTTCTACCGCTCTCTCCGCAGGATTGCCAAAGACGAGGAGTTGCTAGTTTGGTACGGGAAAGAACTGACTGAGTTACTCTTGCTCTGCCCCTCTAGACCCCACAGCAAAATGAATGGTAGGTTGGCTCCAGACCTGTGTGGGGGCCCTTAGCTAACCGCGGAGCAAAGCAGGGAGCGGCGGGGCTCACCCCGGCGCCTGTGCGTGCCTCTCCTCCCTTTGGGCGTCTCTAAGGAAGCTTGGGAGATTCGTATGTAATGAAGCTGGGGCAGGCAGGTGAGGAAAAGTCGTGGGGGTAGGAAAGTGGACACTTGGCTTAATTACTGCACTCCCCCCAATGGGGGGGGGGGGAGTTAGATCAGTCGCAAAGGATCTTCTCATTTCAGACACCCAGGCCCTGAGAAATGAAGGTGGACTTGTGAAGGGGGTGATGATAAACTGGAGACGATGCTGAGTAATCATTTGGTGTGTGTGTGTGTGTGTGTGTGTGTGTGGCGTTTGCTCTCTAAGCAGGGTCGTCCCCTTACACATGCCTGGAATGCAGCCAACGTTTCCAGTTTGAATTTCCCTTTGTGGCGCACCTGCGCTTCCGCTGCCCCAAGAGAATTCACAGCGCGGACAGGAGCCCCCAAGACGAGCAAGGCGGCGGCGTGGGTACCAAGGACCACGG